AAAACGGAATTATTCACATCAAGACCACTCCCACTCCATCAAAAGAATTAACAAGCCTGCAAACAAATGTGCACTCGTCAACGAACTGTCAATGGTCAATTGGACTCCTCTTTATCGCTTGGATTCTGTAAACGATCAGTTTGATCTCTTCACTCATACTCTATCATCTTCACTGGATAAAAACCTACCACTTCGGAGAACTAAGACACACCCTAAAGATAAGCCTCGTTGAACGATCACATAAAGGATGCTATTTCCAGAAGACAACGAGCGTGGACAACTGGAAACACCCTTACGTACAATATCTATCGTAACAAAGTTAACAAACTTTGCAAAACTGCTCGCAAGACAGCATCCTCAACACCCAATATCACGACGCTAACAAGTTGTGGAAAAACGTCAAAACCATCGCTGGCCTTTCAAAATCTGCGCCATTGACAAGTATTGTTCACGAAGGAGAATTCAAGAAAGGCATTGAACTAGCCGAAATTATTACCTCATCATTTTGCAAAGTCACTAACCGTTTACCACCCCTACAATTTGATAAAATCCCCGCTGGAACTGTTCCCGACGAGTTTATCATCACAAGTGATCAAGTTGAGACCGAAATAGAAAAGATTTGTCTTCATAAAGCTACTGGTCCCGATGATATTCCTAACTGGGTTCTAAAGACGTGCGCACCTATTCTAGCAAACCCAACAATTTGTTCCAATTTGTTTCAACGCAAGTATTCAACAGGGAGTTATCCCTGGACTCTGGAAATGTGCCGACGTAATTCCTCTGCCTAAAGTACCTAAACCAAAATCAGTTGATTGTGACCTCCGACCCATCTCACTGACCCCTGTGCTGAGTAAGATCCTTGAACATTTTGTATCTCGCTGGCTCCTGCACTATATTAGTCCTTACATTGACTCCTTTCAATTTGGTAACACTAAAAACTGCTCTACAACACACGCCTTAATCCATCTGTTGCACAACTGGCTCGAAGCACTTGATAGCCCTCAAGGTATAACAATCAGATCCTGCATGATTGATTTTTCAAAGGCTTTTGACCGGATCGACCATAATATTCTTCTCTTGAAGTTGAAGATACTTGGTGTTCCACCGATCCTCCTCAATTGGTGTGCTGATTTTCTCAAAGAAAGAAATCTAAGAGTCAAACTTGGTCAAGTCAAATCATCATGGCATCAACTATTCGCATCAGTCCCTCAAGGTACGAAATTAGGMCCAATTTTTTTCTTGGTCATGATTARCGACCTCGACTCTACTCTCCCGMKRTATAAATACGTTGACGATTGTACTATCTATGAGGTTATTTCACGATCAGCTCCACCCTCATCCCTTCAAACATCTATCGACCACATTACTAAATGGACTGAGTRCAACAACATGTGCTTGAATGTAAAGAAGACTAAGTAATAGATAACTTTTTCCGTGTTTACATAGCCTGATGCAAACACGAGGGTAGGTTGGGAGAATTCGAGACGATTTTTATGATCAAAACTAGGTTTCTCCTTACCTCAAACATTTCAATGGCTTTTTCAACCAGTTCACGTTTTAACGAAAGACGAAGTTGGCGCAGGTTTGACAAAATGTGAAAAAATGGCGGACGACGGCGGGCGACTTCCTTTCTTTCTTTATGCATCAAAATTGCTTTTGTAGTGACCTTAGATGAATCATAAACTACGTGTTGAGGAGAAAGGGTGCATGTCTGTCAAAAGGTCAACTGGACGAAAAAAAAATTAGAAAAAGCTACAAGGTAAACCAGCAACGGAATGTTGCATTAACTGAATGAAAACATTTACATCTTCGTCGATTCACTGATTTGAAGTAAAGCTTTATGTTACGCTTCTTTTCAGAATTGGTATGGAAATGATATCAAGGTGAGATTTTTGAAAAACTGCAGAAAGATACTTGCTGAAWRACTTTGTTTTGACACTTTAAATGATGTTTGATTAGCCGCTTCGACGTGCCGGCACTTCAGCATCAACGACGAAAAAATTCACAAAGCCACAAATAACACATGAAAGCATTGGTCGTATGAACTCCGTTTCATGGATAAGAAGGTGGAATTCATGTTCATAGAAATTTTTTATTGAACTGGTATCTGGTAACTTAATATCAAACTGAAGATAATTTTATGCGAGCGATGCAAGAACTGCAATGACAACAAGCCGTACGAAGAAATTCCCAAAGCTACAAATAAAGACCTTGGTCGGATAAATTACATTTAATAAATAAGCTGGTATTCATGTTTTTAATAGGTTGAACTAGTAGCTTGTTTATCGTGTACTTGTATGTAGCGAATTTATAAAGAGACTCATTATGAACAATCGTTGAACTGAAAGAAATCTCGATTTTCAAGCGCTAATCGACAAATTCTTGTACTACTTTTCTTATGTAGTATCTCAATAAAATGCAAAATATTCACTAAATTCCTCAATTTTTAGCTTCATAGAAAAATGTAACTTGCTTTTCACACGTTATTTACAATAATAAAGATGCAGATTTACTTCTGGTTAAGCTTATTACGTTTTTGATTTTTT